AGGGGACCCCAGGAACACTGGGTGAGGGGGTGGGAGAGCAGGGCGCAGGGGATCCCAGGAACACTGGGTGAGGGGGTGGGAGAGCAGGGCACAGGGGACCCCAGGAACACTGGGTGCGGGGGTGGGAGAGCAGGGCGCAGGGGACCCCAGGAACACTGGGTGTGGGGGTGGGAGAGCAGGGTGCAGGGGACCCCAGGAACACTGGGTGAGGGGGTGGGAGAGCAGGGCGCAGGGGACCCCCGGGATGCCAGGTGCCACCCATGGCGCTGTGGGGGGCTGCAGCATCTGGAACACTCAGACCCCTCTCGCCCATCGTCCCCCACGGGGGCAGATGGGAGGGTAAAAGCCGAGGCACAGAACTGGCTCCTGGGGCTGCCCCAGGGATCCCTCAGCCCCGATGGGCCCAGCGCCCCAAGGCGGGTCCGTTCCAGCTCCAGATGCCACTCGGGCCCGCTGGACCCCTCCCAGTAGCTACGGGAGACCAAGGCTCACCTGTGGCCAGCAGCAGCAGGAGAGTCAGGCTCAGGGCTCCGGGCGTCATGGTGCCTGGGGGGTGGGGGGTCGGCCCGGGTGTCCCGCACCGGGCTCTGTCGCTCGCTGACGTTAGCCTGCAGGGCGCTCGGCAGCCCAGGAATCAGGAACTGGCAGCAGCTCTGCGGAGGCAGATTTATAGCAGCACCTGCTTGCAGGTGGGGCCTGGCTCCGGCTGGGCCACTCCCAAGGGCTTGCTCAGTGTCTGTGCCGCTGCCCCTGGGGCCCTGCTCCCTAGAGCCCCCCAGCCTTGGGGGCCTACTGCCCAGGACCCCTCTACAGCCCTGGGGCCTTGACCCCCAGGACTGCCCCCCACGCCCTGGGACCCTGACCCCCAGGACACCTCCCCAGCTCTGGGACCCTGACCCCCAGGAAACCCCCAAAGCCTTTGGGCCCTGCCCCCGAGGATACCTCCCAGCCCTGGGGCTTCCAAATGTTGGGGCCCAGCTCGCTAGAGTCCCCTAGCCCTGGGGCTCTGACCCCCAGCCAACCGCCCTAGATTGGGGAGGGGCATGGACAATTCTGCTAGCACAATCCCCTGCAGTGTCCCCAGCACAGGATCCATGGGCCGGGGCTGAGTCCCAGTGGGACAGGCAATCAGGGCCCCACGTTCCTCCAGCCCCGGGCTTCCTCACCCTTCTCCACCCAGTGGGGCCTGAGCTGAGGCTGGGGAGAGACCCTCTGGGTGCAGGATGGGGCAGAGGGGAACCAGGCCTGGGAGGAGGGAGGGTCCCTGCAGCCCCTTGGCTCAGGCACCCGATGTCCTGGGGGCCTTGGTGCTGCTTGGCCCGTGGCCTGGGCCCCTCCCCGCTGCCTGGTGGGCGTAACCCCTAGGCCTTGCTGCCGCCACCGTGGACCAGCAGGGTGGCCCAACGCCAGGGCAGGCCTGAGATTCGAGGCTTTTTCTCCTAGAGGCGCCTCTTCCGCCCCCCGCAGCCCCGGCCCGGTGGCG